TTTATCAGAATTTTGACTTTTTTTTATCAGAATTTTGACTTTTTTTCTCAGATTGATAATTTTTACCTGTCAGAATTTTGACTTTTTTTCCTAGAATTTTTAATATATCAGTAGATTTACAAATGACAAAGAACAATTATATAATACACTATACATATAATCACTTTACCCTGTTCTAAAATATAAATACAGTTTGTATTAGTTTAACATGCCATATAATTCAAAATATATATTTGGAAATGTGTTTTTTGCCTTCATCTGTTGTGGTTTGTTTGCATTTTTAGTCATTTTAGTCTTTAAAATATCAAACTTGTGCATACCTATATACATTGTGTCTGTCTAATGACATTTTTAAGTATTAAATCAGATGTTCTGACCAGTTAGCAGTTTGTTTTTATCAAACGCTTTTTTACCCTTTCTTTTTTTTTAGTATTTTCTTGTTTTCTCTGTTTTGATGTGTTTTTTCTGGAGAAACGCAGACTGGCCTAACACCTGTTATAGTGTTACCTACAGTCAAATATCTCATGTCAGAAAGCTATTACCACAAGTGGCTCTCTTAATGAAAGCTCTTTGAACCTAATTAAAGCAATTTAATGTAGTTTCTCACAGGACTACAAAATACAGCAGAGGATGTGCACACATTTGCATTTCAATTAAATAAATCTGAATAAACCTGCAGAGGAAGGATAAGAGATAATGGACGAAAAGTGGCTGAGTTAAATTACAGTCCACATTGAAATTAGTGTGTGCGTGCGTGTGTGTGTATGTGTGTTTAAGCACCTTTGTTATCTAAAATCCTCGACAAGCCTGCACAGTCAGACACTTACAGGAGGAAGTTTTTCCAGGCTCAATCGCTCTTCAGTCCTCTTACTTTGCTAGAAGAGCCATCTTGTTGCAGAAAGCTGTGATTGCACTGCAAAAACACAAAATCTTACCAAGTCTAGTTTCTACTGCAAATATCTTTGCGCAATTTAAATAAGACAAAACTAACTTACAATAACATGTCAGCAAACTATAGGAGCTTATTTTAAGTAAATAATTCCTTAATATTGTTTTTAAAAGGTACAAGTTTTTCTTCCCTAATTTTTGGACTACCTCAAAAATTACAAGTACTTTTTAAACAATATTAAGGAATTATTGACTTAAAACCAGCTCCTACATGTCACTGAAATATTATTGTAGGTTAGTTTAGTCTTATTTAAAGTGCTCTAAGATATTTTTAGTACAAAAATACTTGGTAAGATTGTATTTTTGCAGTGTTATTTTTTTTTTATTGCTACAGGATATTCTTTCGGCTTACGGC